GACCAAGCGGTTTTCTCTGAAAAGGAGGCTTCACCTCCCCAACACGCAAGAATGAAAAGTCACTCCCTTCTCTGTATAAGTATGGGTCTCATTATTAAATGGATTCCTCGGGCCTTAAGTTGGGTAAACACTAAGATAGGTACATCAATGTGTTATGTGAGTGTACAAACTCTCCGTTGTCTGCCCTATGAGAAGAAGTGGAGTTTTTTACACGGTGTTCTTGAGAAGGTATGAGCTGATGAGAAGAGCTGATATTGCCATGTGATAATATCGGGCATTGACTTGAAAAATTTGACAATTTCTGTGTTAAAGTACATTGGTAAGGTATAAATGGAAGAAACCACTGCTTTTGCTTCAAATATGTGAATATCAGAAGTGACAAACAAAATAATTAAGGATATTTTGGTAGAAGGGGATAAGCGCCTTTAGCCCATTTTCGGGAGTACAAAATTTGTGAATTCTTGTAAGATAGCGTATCCAGTAAAATGTATGTAGCTTATAGGTGCTTCTGTATGATAGAAATGAACGAAAGATCATAGAGGAATTGGGATGCAAATTTTGCAAAGTTTTCATGTTTGTAAGAGAGTAGATAACCCTGATCCGCTGTGTGGTAGCCATCTATACACCTGCATCATCCATGCGCTGGCAACTAATGAACGAAGACTTCAGTAGCCTTATTTTTCTGGTTAAAATGAGAAAGGGGACATGTTTTTAGTAACCGCATACCCTTCTCAATTACCATTCATGTTGGAAAAAAAAAAACTTAAATAATAAGAAGCAAATCGTCTCAGGAGCAGAAAGCAACCTGCCAATGAAATAAGTTGTGGATGTTTTCAAACATGAAAAATAAAAAATAAAAAAACAAAAGAAAAAATACGTTAGAAAACTGCACAGGGCGGCGATCTGCTATTTTCCACACTCCTTTTCAAAGGTTTAGCAACTTACAAAGGAATTAAAGTTTAGGGGCAGTTCAACTAATGGAGGAAGTACATGATGTTCAAGCTTCAATTAGGGATTTTCTCCAAAATAAAATTTTCGGTTTACAATCTTTTACTGTCAAATACGCAATGCTGAGATTCAAAGTTAAACAAATTCTACTCATTAGGTGGTCGTTATGTTATCACAAGCCTGTAACATTGACTAAAAAAGCATGACGGTATGATATAGTTGTGTCTACAATGAAATATCATCATTGACTGAAGTTGACTGTTTTCGATTTTGAAATCATACTTATGTACTGAACTGTACGAAATTCTCTGATCTGTTAACTTGGACGTTTTTTTTACATTCACAGAAAACAATGATCACACTGGATTCGAAGGACCTATTGATTACACTGGGCGCGGTAGTTCGTGCGATTTTCCCAATTAGTAGGTGAGTTTTCAATTTGTTGCGAATACACTTAAAAATTGTATCATAGTAATCATTCTTGGAAGCAAAAGGTTTTAACTTAAGATTTTACTCCTCCTTCAGGTTAGTCATTGAGGATAATAAGATTTTTTACAAATTTTGTTTTTACCCATCTTCTCAAGTACGGTCTATGAGGACAAGATTTAAAAAGTTCCCTGAGAAAATCTGCTTAAAAAGTTTTTCAATAGTGCAATAACATGGCTGTCTATTTTTGTTGTGTTCAATGTTCTGATACTGAGGACACTTTTGGTATTTGGCAACAGAGATTTGTTTCAAAATAATGCTACGAGATGAAACGGATGGTACAGATACAAATTTTTGGAAGTGAGTACTTGTCAATTGGGAATGTGGAGCTTGTGGTGACAAAACGGTTGTCAATGAGGATTAGGTACGAAACTTGTGTAAATTTAATGGTGATGGTATTATCCTCGAGAAAATTTTGAAGAGAGGTTTCATGCATGTTCATTGCGCCTTCATATCCTTGAAATTGAGATAAGAGAAGCTTTCAATGGGAAAATGGCTATTTATAAAAAGACGATATACCATTATTAAAGGGTATAAGCCTTGGCATGATGTAATTAAGTCAAGTTTTCAAAACATTAATGAGGTCCTAGACTATTTCCATTCCACTAAGGTGATGTTTTGAAGCCAAAGCTGAAGGAGGAATAAAACAAATGGAAGATTATTGAGTTTTTTCAAAGGGCGTACCGGTAATAAAGCAGTTCATTGTTCAGTGGACTTGTGGATGCAGAAAACAACATCCTACTAGAAATAGGCAGATGACAATACCTGAATTCTCTGAATGCTTGTGCTTGAGATTTTCAGCTCTAAAAGATGCAATGAGCCGTGGGAACTGATGAGTGGGGTTAATAATATAGGTAGTCTGTCTTCTTGTACCTGAATCCCCATCATAATTTATGAATAGAATGAGTTTGATTCAATGTTGTAGTCCGCGTCATTGTCTCTGTTCTTTTTTGACTGTTGATTTTCTTTTTTCTCTACAGGTTGGTGCACACGTCAGACAGAAGACAAAGTACCTGTCTACAATTTACATTTTTTCTTCACTTTTTCTTTTTATAACTTTAGTTGTTTTTTTTTAAGGTTTAATAACCGAATATAAGATGATAAATTCTTGATTAAACACTTTTTTGGATTAAACAATTGGTGCACACGTCAGACAGAAGAGAATGAACCTGTCTACAATTTACATTTTTTCTTCACTTTTTCTTTTTATAACTTTAGTTTTTTTTTTT